TATTTTTATTTGTGTGTGTGTATTGCCTGCATGTAGGTAAGTACACCCATGTCATGCAATGTCCTCGAAGGTCAGAAGAGTCTGTCGGATCCCCTGGGACTGGAGTTACAGACAGTTGTTAGCTGCCATATGGGTACTGGGAATCAAACCTGGGTCTTCTGCAAGAACAACCAGTGTTCTTAACTGCTGAGCCATCTCTCCAGCCGCCCCCGCCCCCCACGCCGGGCAAAGTTATTTTTATCTGAAGAATTGTCCTAGTCTGTTTCTCCATTGCTATGACAAAACACTCTGACCAATATCAACTTGGGGAGGAAAGGGTTTATTTAGCTTACATATCCTGGGTCACAGTTCATCCAGGAGCCCAAGGTAGGAACTCAGGGCAGGAACCTGCAGGCAGGAGCTGGAGCACTGGCCATGGAGGAATGCTGCTTACTGGCTTGCTCCCCTGGCCCCTGCTCAGCCTGCTTTCTTATGCAGCACAGGCCCACCTGCCCAGGGGTGGCACCACCCGCAGTGGGCTGGGCCCTTCCACATCACTCATCAAATAGATGCCCCTCAGACATGGCCATATAGGCCAGTCCAATAGAGGCAATTCCCCAATTAAGGCTCCCTCAACCCAGGTGTGTCAAGTTGACACTAAAGCTATCCAGCACAGGAATCCAAAAACTAAAAAGTTGGGAGCTTTTGTTGGGTAGGAACGTAGATCTTTGTGAGTTCAAGGCCAGTCTGGTCAACATAGTGAGTTCCAGGCAAGCTGGGGCTATAGGGAGACCCTGTCTCAAAAAGACCAAAAAAATAAGAAAGAAAGAGAGAAAGAAAGAAAGAAAGAAAGAAAGAAAGAAAGAAAGAAAGAAAGAAAGAGAAAAGAAAAGCTGGGCGTCGTGGCACACGCCTTTAATCCCAGCACTAGGGAGGCAGAGGCTGAGAAAGAAAGAAAGAAAGAAAGAAAGAAAGAAAGAAAGAAAGAAAAGCTAGGCGTCGTGGTGCACGCCTTTAATCCCAGCACTGGGGAGGCAGAGGCCGGTGGATCTCTGTGAGTCCAAAGCTAGCCTGGTCTACATAGTGAGTTCCGGGACAGCTGGGGCTACAGGAAGACCCTGTCACAAAAAGATCCCCCCCAAAAAAGAGAGAGAAACAAAGACAAAGCAGGGCGTGGTGGCGCACACCTTTAATCACAGCACTCAGAGGCAGAGGCAGGCGGAACTCTGGGATTTTGAGGCCAGCCTGGTCTACATAGTGAATTCGGGTCAGCTGGGGCTACAGGGAGACCCTGTCTCAAAATAAAACAAAAAGAAAAAGAAAAAAGAAAGAGAGAAAGTAATACATGGCCATGTTCATCCATATCGATTTAATAATACCTGAATTTTATTTTCTGTGTATGAGTGTTTTGCCTGCATGTAAGTGCATAATATGTGTGCAATTCCCCCAGAAGCTGGAAGAGGATGTTGGATCCCGTGGAACTGGAGTTATTGGTGGTTGTTGTTAGCTGTCGTGCAGGTGCTGGGAACCAAGCACTGGTTCGATGCAAGAGCAGCAAGTGCTCTTAACTGTTGAGCTATCTCTCCAGCCCTGTTTTGTTTTTCTTTGAGACAGGGTCTCTCTATGTGGACTAAGATGGCCTTAAACTTGCATTGATCCTCCTGCCTCTGCCTTTCATGTGCTGGGATTACAAGCGTGAGCCACTATGCACAGCTTTATATATTTTGATGGGTTTTTGTTTCATTTTTGAGACAGTCTCATAGCCCAGGCTGACCTAGAACTCTTGGCAATCCTCCTGCCTCAGGCTCCCAAATGCTGGGATTACAGGCATAAGCCACCACTATGACCTGTTCTCCCACATTGGGTAGGGAAGTGAGGAGCAAAGAGAATTAGTCTTGGTCAGTTTTCTAAGATTGGTCAGGTGGGGTCTCATCTGAGATGAGAAAGTTGCCATTACTCAGGAGGAAGTCTTGACCCCTTGCCTCATGATGTGTATCCATCAGACCTGCTGTTCCTGGAATCCAAGGGCAGAATGATTCAAAACAATGGAAACAAGCAAAATGGAGACAAAGGTGCTAAGATTTTTTCTGCAGGTCTAGGTGAAAAGGTGTTATTGGACTGGGAGTCTCCAAGGCTCTTGACCTCATAGGAGAGAGAGCTCAAGGATAGACACAGGAGATTCAGTGAGAGCAGCAGATTTATCACAGCACAGCAAGCTAAGTGAGTGTCCACACTGAAGCCCAAAGACAACAGTGGCTATCTTTCTGTACACGTGACTTCTGAGATTGTTTGAAATTCTGTCATCTCATTAGTAGATCACAGATCTTTCCCATTTGTTGGGCAGGAAATTAAATTACACGTTGTGTGTATGTATGTGTGTGTATGTTTGCATGCATCTGCATGTGGGTGCCTCTGGAGGCCAGAAGAGCATTGAATCCTTGGAGCTGGGGTTGCAGGTGATTATGAGCCTCCAGAATTGGGTGCCGGGAACTGAACTTTGGTCCTTTGAAAGAGCAGCAAGTAAGGGCTCGTGGCTGTTGAACTGTCTCTCTAGTCTAAAGAAGTTTCTGTTTATCCTTTCTTCTCTTTCTTTCTTCTCCTCCTCCTCTTTAATTTTTAATACTTTATTTTTATTTTATATGTGTGAATACATTCCTTGCATGGATGTTAAGTGTACCCATGTCATTGAAGTCAGAAAAGCGCATCAGATTTCCCTGGAACTGGAGTTACAGACAGTTGTTAGCCACCATGTGGGTGCTGGGAACCAAACTCCAGTCCTCTGCAAGAACAGCCAGTGCTCTTAACCACTGGACCATCTCTCTAGCCCTGTCTTCTGTTAAACAAGGTCTCGTGTATCTAACCTGGAACACTGATTATGTGGCTGAGGGAAGCTTCCTGATCCTCATGCCTCCACCTCCCAAGCACTAGAATTACAGGTGTGTGCCACCATGCCCAGTAACAACTAAGCATCATAAAGCCTAAAGATAAACATCTCTGACTACTGCACTTTTGGGAGCTATTTTGAGAAAATAATCAAGATGTAGCAATGGTTATGATGGCACTGGTAATTCCAGCATTTGGAAGTTTGAGGCAGGAATAGTTCTGTGAGTTTGACAGCTGCCTGGACTACGTTATGAGTTTGAGGCTAACCTAGGAAAAGATGAAAGGAGGGAGGGAAGAAGAAAGGAGACTAAACATTGTTTCAAAGCAAAAAACACTATCTCAAAATGTGTTCCCTCTTCTGTTTATAGTGCTGGGAATGAAACCCAGGTCCTCATGTGCTCTGACCACCCACCTGCATTATTTCAAAATGCTAACACTGGTGATTTTATTTCCCTAGGTCTTTTTCGTTCTGAAGTCCTACAATGAACAGTCTTGTTAGTAACTCCAGGTGAAGGGGTTGCTATAAGTTCCAGCCCTGGCCCCAGCCAGGCAGCTCTGTGCAGGGGGTGCACTACAGTCCTCTCGAATGAGCCTCTCCATTTACCCAAGGGCCTGATTAGTTTGTTTCCATCCAGGAGCATCTCCTACAGGGCCCTGATGCAACTTCTGCAGCCCTGCCCTGGGGAGAAGGAATCTCTGCTTCCTGGTGCCTTCAAGTCTTCCATGGAAGAGCTGAGAGAGAAAAGTCTCCCAAGCCCCACTGAGGCTCAGGGTACAAAGATCAGGCTCTTTCAACTTGAGATTCTCCTGCCTCAGCTGCCCATCACCACACCCAGCTCATTTCTTGTTGTTTAAATATTTATTTTATGTGTGTGTGCGCCATGTGTGGTTGCTTGAGGAGGCCAGAAGAGGGGTGGGATCCTTTGATGCTGGAATTATAGGCGGTTGTGGGCTGCCTGATGTGGATGCTGGGAACTGATCTCTGATCCTCTAGAGGAGCAGCAAACTCTCTTAACCATTGATCCGTCTCTCCAGCCCCTCCTTCCTTGTTTGTGTCCGTCTCCCTCACTAGAATGTCAGCCTCGTATGATTAGGTATATTGTCAGGTTTGTGGTGTGTTTTGTTGTTTTCCAGTGCTGGTGATGGAGCACAGCCTTGTGCTTGCTGGGCCAGGGTTCTTCAATAAGCTCTGCCCCCATTTTGCCACTTTGATTTACTGCTGTATCCCTAAGGGCCTCATCCCAGCCTCTCAGAGGGACTCAGTCAAAGTTAGCTCACAGCCAGCCAATGGTTGCACTCTTGCAAACAAAGCACCACACATTCTGATCACGGGTCCTCAACAGCCACGCCAAGTCTTGGACCTCACCCCAAGACAGAGTCCAGGGACCGTCCAACCTCATCGGTGCCTGTGGGACTCTGTTAGGACTGGATGCTCACACAACCCAAGTTCAAAGGCTGCCACGAAAAAGGGGCAGGAGAGGTCCTCTGAAGAGACCCTGTCTGTGCTGGTGGAGGTAAGGTCAAGGTAAGGAGCCCCCTCCCTCTCACTCTTCCAGTCACCTGACTGCGGGCACCTGACAACTGCTAGGCCCAGACACCCAGTCCTTTGCTGCTGGCGGAGGGAGGGACGTCCCCAGCTTCTCAAGCAAAAGGTAGACACCTCCCTGGACTGGTTCTATAATTCTCCAAGCTCCCTTCCCTGTTGTGGGCCCTAAGCCAGCAGAGGGCGCCGTGGCCCTCAAGGTGAGCACTCTGCAACCTGGTGCCTATTCCTTAGGGCCATAGAACCCTGGGTCTCTCCTAGCCCCTCCCACACCATTCTTGGGTCTCCTCCCACAAGCTGGGTTGCAGATATCAGAGTTCAGATCCAAGGAGTCAGGGTGACCTCAGCAACCCTGGACCTGCACCGGTCCCAGCCTGACTAGAGAAGTGAAGCAGGTGACATGAGAATCCAGCCAGGAACCACTTACCCTCCATCGCCCAAATGGGAAATGGAGGCCCAGGACGCTGGCCATCCTCCAGCAAGGAGCCCATCACCGATCACCTGACTCCTCTGATGCCCTCCCTCCCCTCTCTGTTGATGACCCAAAGGACCTCCTGCCCAGGTCTGGTGAGATGCATAGAGGGTGAGCCATGAGTGAAGGATAAAGTGCCAAGGCAGTGGGCTTTTATTGAAGGCCTACTGTGTGCAGAGCACCAGGTATGCCAGGACCACCTCTCACCTTCCTCTGCACTTTCCACCAGCCAAGGAAGAGGATGCTGGTGAGCCCGAGATGTGGTGCCAGGGAAGGGGAGAGGTGGAGGTAGATGGGGGCAGAGAGGCCCCAACAGCTGAGTCTTCGGGGAGGGAAGGACTCTGGGGTCTGTTCAGCTTGAAACCAAAAGGCTGAGACCTCCCTTCCTCCCCATCCCACTGGGCTCTGAATCTGCCCTGTCTTTTCTCATGTGACCTGTAGGGAATGGACTCTGTCTCTGGGTGGTTCTCCCAATCAGGGATGCATCCAGAGAGTGGAGGTGTGGCTGAGCCCAAGGTGACAGTTCAGCTGGTTCTGTGGCTCCTGTCAACTGTGTCCTGCTCTGCTTCTGCAACCGTTTGGAGCCTCCACTTGGACCTAGTGGGATGGGGGGCAGACAGGACAGGAAGAGAGAACAGGAAAGAACTACAGTCAGGCACAGAGAGACCAACAGATGTGAAGAAAAGAGAGCCAGACAGAGAGAAGAAGCTAGAGACACAGAGATACCCAGAGGCAGAGCAGAGATAGAGATGGAGATAAAGCCAGAGAGACAGGAGAGCATCAGAATAATAAAAGGGGGGAAGAGGAGGGCAAGGATGAAGGGGAGGATGAGGAGGAGGGGGAGGAAGAGAAATGGGGGAGGGAGGGGGGAGAAAGGAGGAAGAGGAGGAAGAAGAGGAGGAGGAAAAGGAGAAAGGGGGAGGGGGAGGAGGAGGAAAAGGAGAAAGGGGGAGGGGGAGGAGGAGGAAAAGGAGAAAGGGGGAGGGGGAGGAGGAGGAAGAGGAGGAGGAGGAGGAGGAGGAGATGAAGAAGGTGGAAACAGATGGAAATGCAGTCATGGCCCAGGAGAGGAGAGAAAGCCAGGGCAATGGACCTGCCTCCTTCCAAGGCCAGCCTTACCTAGAGCTCATCCCTGGGGTGGGGATGGAGGCTGTGTCCACTGCTGCCAGCCAGATCCAGGTCGGGGCCACGAAGCGTCTTCTGAGAGCCAGTCCAGCTGATGAGGCGGCCACTGTCATCATCCCAGGGGGAGGATGTTTCTGTGTCACTGAGCCAGTCTGCATCCCCCGCATAGTGAGTAGGGGAGGCAAGCAGGGGCCGGGCTGAGAAGGCCTGGAGGTCCCTTGGCCAGAAGTGTGCCTTGTACTGCTCACTGTGAGGTGAGAAGAAAGCTCAGGTGGGCTGAAACAACTTCTCCTCCCAGACTCCATGATGCCACCCTCTGTGGCACCTCTGCCCTGCCCACAGCTCCTCATAGCTACCTGAGAAGTGGCACTTCTAATGTCCCAAGATGAGGAAACAGGTTCAGTACTGGGACGCCATTTGATGAGAAACCACATAGACAGTACAGTGTTCACACTTAGCTGAGTCTGCGCAGCTGTGGGCCGTGGGGCTAGGCCTCCACATTCTCCCTCTCCCCACCTGCCTGATAAGGGGACTTTCCAGTAGGCGCCTGGCCTGCCCTGCCCAACCCGGGCCTCACTTGGGGTGCTGGTCAAACATGATGGGCAGGAACTCGTCCACAGGTAGCATTCGGCGCAGAGGCTGGGAGGCCAACAGTTTGTGCGCCCCTGCCAGGCTCAGGACATATGCCAGGGTCCAGTAGGAGTACCCAGCCACCACTAGGCCTGGAAGCCCCTCCACGGCCATCTCCTCCTCAGGGTTCACTTGCTTCCGGCCGAGGTAGCTGCAAGTGATACCAAGGGTGCTGGAGTCACCATGGAGCCTGGGATATCCCAGGCCCTTCCCCAGGGCCCTCCACCAGAGCCAAGCTCTGCAGGGAGGGCTGGCCAGAATACAAACCGGAAGAAGCAGACCCCAGAGCTCCCCCCTTTCCCTTGCCTCTTGGAGGCAGGCTGCCTACATCAGATCCCATGGAAGCTTCTGGGCTGTCACACTCTCCATCAGCTGCTCCAAGCGCCTCTGGAAGTTCCCCTCAAAGCGCACATCATCCTCGAACACCACAACCTGGGCCAGGCCCCTGGCAACTACCTGTGATACACAGTGTGGAAAAGGTCCCTACAGATTCCAGTCGTCCTGTCCCCACCTGCCCAAAGCCAGCAGACTCTGCTAGCCCTCAGCTACAGGTCACATAACCAGCCCTTGCAACATCATACACACTATCCCAAAGCCTGCTGGGGCTCCCACTGCCTGGGGAAAGAAATCCATCTTGCTCTCAAACCTCCACCCACCCCGAGTCTAGCTCATAAAGAGAATCAGTGACACTCAGGACCTCTGCTACATTCCCTGAACACTACCACGTCCCAGGAGTCAGTGCTGAGGCTCAGCTCCAAAATTATAGAGAACCTGGCTTTGTCGTTTCCTGAAGCTGGGTGGGGCAGGGGTGTGAACAACTGCAGCCACCAAAATCATCAAGAAAAGCTACTTTGTGGAACTATGGGAGCTATGGAAAACATGAAATCAGCTGGGTAAATGTTCACAGCCGGCAAACACAAACAGAGGCTCACACCCCTGCTTGTCTGCTTCAGTTTTAGAGAAAAATAAGAACAAGATTTTGCACACTGTCTCCAGGAAGCAGCGGCCCTCAAGGGTCCAGTTCCCTCCAGCTCTCCAGCAAAGCCTTGGGAACTCCAGCACTGGAGCCCCAGCTTCCTAGGCAAGTGCTGAACATGTGCCAAGCCCCTGGCCTTCCAGCTTTCCTCTCCAGGAAATACTTCCCCACCTGGGGGCTCCACCCATTTTCCTCAGCCTGGAAGGCTCTCCTCCCTAACCACCCTGACCCCAGGCGGCAGCCAGGCAGGAGCATGCTGTGCAACTCAGGGTCTCTCTTTTGATTTTGGTGTGGCCTTCTCCTCCCTGAGTCCCAGGAAGTCTCCTTTCTATGTGTGCACACGTGTGTGCATGTTTGGAGGCCAGGGGTCAATGTCAGATCTCTTCCTCTTTGCTTTCTACCATATTTAAAGTTTAAAAAAATTGTTTTTTATTATTTATTTGTGTGTGAGTGTTATGCCTACATGTAGGTAAGTACACCTGTGTCATGCAATGCCTGTGGAGGACAGAAGAGGCTATCGGATCCCCTGGAACTGGAGTTAAAGACAGTTGTCATGTGGGTGGTGGGTGCTGGGATTTGAAACTGGGTCTTCTGCAAGAACAGCCAGTGTTCTTAACCGCTGAGCCATCTCTCCAGCCCCTTAAATTAGATTTTTATTTTAAATTATATGTATTATGTAGCTGGGCTTGGTGGCGCACACCTTTAATCCCAGCACTCGGGAGGCAGAGGCTGGCAGGTCTCTGTGAGTTCCAGGCCAGCTGGGGCTACAGGGAGACCCTGTCTCAAAGAGAGAGGAAAAAAAAAAATTGTATGTGTGTATGTGTGTGGGTTTGTGTACATGAGTGCATAGACACCAGAGGATCCTCATCTCTCAGCCCCCGTATTTAAAGTTTATTAAAGTTTTTTGGGTTTGGGTTTGGGTTTTTTGAAACAGGATCTTACTATGTAGCTCTGGCTGGTCCAGAATTCACTATGTAGACCAGACAGGCCTCAAACTCAGAGAGCTCCACTTGCCTCTTACCTCCCCAGTGCTGAGATTAAAGACTTGCACCATCATACCCTGCTAAAGCTATTTTTAATAGATTTTAAGCACGAGGATTAAGAGAAAGAAAGACACACCCAAGAACCCAGGTGTGGGCTTGCCTAAGAGAGTTGCCCACTTTATTTTTTGAGGTAGGATCTCTCACTGACCCAGGAGATTGCCATTTTAGCTAGACTGACTGGCCAGGCAAGGCCCCAGGATCCACCTGTCTCTGCCCCACAGAGCTGAGGTTACAGATACAAGGCATGGTAGCCAGCTTTTGGTGGGTGCTGGGAATCTGAAATCAGGTCTTTATGCTTGTATAACTGAGCCATTTCCCCAGCCCCAGGATCTCCCTCTTGTAGGAAGAGGACAGACACGTTTTTCTCATCCTCTGTGATCTCAAAGAATACCTCCTAGGGCACAGCCAGTACACAATAGACAATGAACAAGGTCACTTCTCATCCATGCCAGTAAAGTGCTGAATTCAGAGAAGGTTCAAAGCTACTGGCCAGGTCTTTGCAGATGTATTACTCAGTCACTCATTAGCCTGTGTGCACCTGAGTAGCCAGCACACTGACAGCCAGCCTCTCTGCTGTCCCTGAAAGGTGTGGTCCAGAGAACAGGCACTCTCACCTCGTCCCAGATGGAGTAGTGGCTGAGAAAGCAGCCCACCTCACCCTTGGTCAGCGTGCGGCCCGAGTAGGGATCCTGGTAGCCTGGGAGCAGGTCCACACCCAGGTGCCTGAGGATACTGCTGTTGAGCATCCTGTGGGACAAAGGCATGAGTAGGTGACAGGTGCTGACCAGAGACCCTCTCTAGAGAGGCCTCATCTGTATGTGTTGGAGAGAGTCACGCAGGAGCCTGGTTTAAAGGAGGTTTCAGGTTTTTTAACTCCTTCATACGGCCATCATCAACTGGGCCTGGGGGAACTGTTGCCACTTTGAGGAAGCCTTGGGGGAAAGGATTTACAGAAGCTGAGGCTTCTGTTAAGGGAGGAGGCACCCCAATATAAATGTGGGCACCATGTGAGAGATATCCTACAGAGATGCCCAAGAATTTGGGATGCTGAGACAGAAAGATCAAAAGTTCAAGGCTAGCCTGGGCTATATAGGCAGTCCTCATCTCAAAACAACACAAAATGGGCTAGAGAGATGGCCCAGTGGTTAAGAGTTCTGGCTGCTCTTACAGAGGACCCAGCTTCGGTTACCAGCACCCACATACCCACATGGTGGCTAACAACCATCTGTAACTCCAATTCCATATCTTGATGCCCTCATCTGGCCTCTGTGGGTATGTGCAACATGGGTACACTTACACATATGCAGACAAAATACTCATACACATAAACTAAAAATAAATTTAAAAAAAAAACCCAAAAAACCCAAAAACTAACAACAGGGGCTGGAGAGATGGCTCAGGGATTAAAAGCACTGGCTGCTCTTGCAGAGGACCCAGGTTTGGTTCTCAGCACCCACATGGCAGCTAACAACCATCTCTAACTCCAGTTCCAGGGACTATGACACTCTCTTCTGGTCTGCACAGGCATTGCACACACATGATACATTTACACACAGGCAAAACACTCATACATATAAAATGTAAATAAAATTTAAAATAAAAAAACTGCAACTAGCCAGGCTTGGGAGTATAAGTCTGTAATCCCAGCACTAGGGAGGTAGAAGCAGGAGGATCAGGAGTTCAAGGTCATCCTTGGCTACACAGCAAGTTCAAGGCTAACCTCGGCCACATGAGACTATCTCAAAGAGAGAGAGAAACAAGTAAATTCTGGTATCATGCACACCTTTAATCCCAGCACGTGGGAGGCAGAGGCAGGCGGACCTCTGTGAGTTCAAGGCCAGCCTGGTCTACATAGTGAGTTCCAGGAGAGCTGCAGCTATAGGGAGACACTGTCTCAAAAAGACAAAAAAAAAAAAAGTTTTCCTGTGACCTCCATATGTAAATCGTGGCAGGTGTATATACATATCACACATACAAATACATACATATACACTAATAATAAACTTTAAAAATATTTTTGTTTTATATGAGTGTATTGCCTGTATGTATGTAAGTGTAGCTGTGTCGTGCAATGCCTGTGGAGGTCCGAAGAGGGTGTGGGATCCCCTGGAACTGGAGTTAGGGATAATTGTTAGCCACCATGTCAGTGCTGGGAACCAAATCCGGGTCCTCCATAAGAGCAGCCAGTGCTCTTAACTGCTGAGCCATCTCTCCAGCCACATAAAAAATAAACTTTTTAAATAAAAAAAATACTGGCCAGGTGTGGTGGCACATGCCTTTAATCCCAGCACTCGGGAGGCAGAGGCAGGCTGATCTTTGTGAGTTCAAGGCCAGCCTGGTCTACCAAGTGAGTTCCAGGACAGCTGGGGCTACAGGGAGACCGTGTCTCAAAAAGATCCCCCCAAAAACCCCCAAAAAAACAAGAGAATAATGAAAGGAATACAGTCAAAGGACATGATAGATTCGCTGTGAGCTCTGTTTAGGGGACCACAGTGAGGGGAGAGAGGGAAAGAAAAGAGCAGAAATGCAGCGTTGGGCATTGCATGACACAGCTGCACTTACCTACAGGCAGACAATACAAGCATACACATAAAAAATAAATAAATAAAATATTTTTAAAAAATGTTTAAAAAATGAAGCCAAAGGACCCAGGGGTTTGAAGCAAATGGCAGCAGGCAGATGGGCCATGTGCCTAGTGGCTTTGGAGCCTGAACTCTGGATCCCTGAGGAACATAGATAGCCTCCACTCACTCCCACCCCTCGGGGGCCTAAGTCTAGGATGGAGAGCAATCCTGAGGTTGCCTAACCTCTTGGGTTACTTCCTAGGTGTTGGGCTCTGGCTACACTGTCACTGGACTCTCCAGGAACCATAAGAACAAAACACCATGTGCACATGAGGATGAGAGATGGTGACAACCTGACAGAGGTCACACAGCTGGTGAGTGGCAGCCCTGGAACCCAGGCTCTGCAGTTCTAACACTGTACTCTCCTCCCTCTGGTGGGCTGAGAGAGGGTGTCTTGTCTGTCTGTCTGTCTGTTCTGCCATTCCTTGAGACAGCTTGACTCAGACTACCTCTAGGAGCTTCCAACTCATCTGCTTGCCCACTCCCAGAACCTCAGGTGGATCTCACTGTCCCTCACCTCCACCCAAGCCTGGTCACTGGTAGCCTCACCTGCCATCCACAGCATCTACTACCCGTGCAGAGATCTCCATCTCCCAGAGTGAGCTCAGCATGCGCTCCCTGCGCTTGGGTCTGCGGGCCAGGCTGATGACAAAGATCTGGAGGAGGTAGAGGGCTGGGTCTAAGGGAGGATGCTTATCTACCCCAGCCCCATCCCATGGGTCAGAGACTTACCTCATCAAACCCCATCTTTCCAGGCTTCTTTGGTGGCTGAGACACGTGAGCTGAGGCCTGCATGGGGGGCCCATCCACTGTAAAGAGAAGCAACCCCCATCTGGTTGCAGCCACTCTGGAGTTCCACCCCCAGCCTCATTCCTGCCCCCTCAGCAGAACGCTAGGCAGAAAAGGCCCTCTGAGCTCAGGGAATCTGCTTGCCCCATTATACAGACAGGGAGACTGAGACCCCACAGAGAAAAGGACTTGCTCACCGTCTAGGACAGTTCAGGACAAAGCTAGGACTCAAGCACACTTACATCTGTCCCTGGGAAAGGGGCACTGAGGGGAAACGGGGCCTCAGCTGTCACCTAGTGCTTCCAAAATGAGGTGGATGAAGTTGGTCTTCTCATCTTCCAGCCCCTGGTGGGGCTTCACTGCCACGTTCATGTACCCATAACGGTGTTCATTACACACGTGCACTGAGACCCCTGCAGAGAGGCCAGGTAAGTGCTGGAGTAGGGTAGGGGCACCCAGAACCCAGTGGAGGATATCAAGCTGGTGCTGCCAGTGACCCAGGTCTTCTCTGGGACTCAGCTTTGCAGCTGGTGGGACTGGCCAACACGCTATCTAAAGGAGTTTTTCCGTTGAGAGGATTCAGTCATCCTGTCTAGGTGACAGGATTCAGCAGACCTGTCTAGGGCATCTGCTGGGCCCAGAGTTATAGCGGTGACCAAGGCAGGCAGAGTCCCTGCCCTCAGGGAGTCAAAGGAAGGCGCAGACAATCTCCCACCATGAGCCCTGAGCTTCCGATCTCTCCAAACCCCACTTCTCTGCATCCCCCATGCAGCCCTGATCCAGGAACCATCCTGTCAGATGCCTCCATGTCTACATCCTAGGGCTCCCCTCCATGCTGCCTCCTCCTATCTGACAACCAGAGTGGCTCCCACTTCAGTATCTGTCAGCTTTATTATAATTGTCCTCAAGGAAGGTGCAGAG